CTGGTCTAAAGTTACCCGGCTCATCCCTTCTCCCTTTCTTGAAAATGGGCACCACATTGGTCCTTCTCCAGTCCTCAGGGACCTGACCAGAGCATCACAAGTGCTTGAACAGCCATGCCAGCGGCTCAGCTATGACACTGGCCAATTCTTTCAGCAGCCGTGGATGGAGGTCATCCAGGCCTGCTGACTTGTACCCATCCAGCTCCTCCAGGAGCTCCTTAACTATTTCAGAACAAACCGTAGGCAGACTGGTGCCATGTGGACATCCGTCAATGATCGAGGTGGGGGAGTTGGCTTGGTCAGTACATAGAAATACTGAAGCAAAGAACTCATTGAAGAGCTCTGCTTTTTTTCCCGCGTCAACCACCAACTGTCCTAATTTGTCCTGCAGGGGCCCTATGCTGTTCTGAGCTTCCCTTTTGCCCACTATATACCTGAAGAAGGACTTTTTATTGTCCTTGACTGTTGAAGCCAGCCTGAGCTCAAGCCCTGCCTTGGCCTGTCTGACTCCCTGCAATAGTGCGCCAGGGAGATGTATTCCTCCTTGATGGCTGCTCCCTGCTTCCATTGCCTATACATCTCTTTCTTTGCCCCCAGACTCTCCTGGAGTTCCCTGTTCAGCCAAGTGGGCTTTTTTGCCCCCTTACCTCCCTTCCTACGTAATGGGATAGACTCCTTTTGAGCCCCAAGGATCACTCCCTTGAGGTACCTCCAACCCTCCTGGACCCCCATATGCTCTATGTTCTTGAGTTGCATCCCCTCCCTAACTAGCCTTCTAAGCTTGCTAAAGTTGGCCCTTCTGAAGTCCAACACCTTAGCCCCACTAATTACTTTACTCACCCTTCACTGGATAGTGAACTCGACCAAGTGATGGTCACTAGCTCCCAGGCTACCATGAACTCGCATGTTCACCACGAGATTATCCCCTGTTGCTAAGACCAGGTCAAGCAAGGCGCTACCCCTGGTGGGACTAGACACCACCTGGGTTAGGTGGAGGTCCTGCAGGCAGTGTAAGAACCTCCATGAGCAGCTTGTTTTGGCTGTCTGCTCCTCCCAGCAGATATCTGGGTAGTTTAGATCTCCCATGACCACCGCCTCCCTCGCCTGTGGATATTAAAGACAGTGCTCCATACTACAAAATCAAGAAATAACAAACATCTTCCAGGGTTTAAATTCAATGTAAATAAATCAATTTACAAGAATATGCCCTCCAAGACTGTATGGCTGGAAACAGATGTCACCTTTGTAGTACCTTAAAAGTTTTATGGCAGTACAAAACCCAAGCAAACAGATGTCCATGCTTCTAGTCACACCATAACTGTCCATGACAATAGATTTTTTGCAGATGTTTGTTTGCTTTATGGCAGGAGAGCACAAGGAGCCTGGAGCTGCCTGCGCTCCTCAGCAGCCCCAGGCAGGAATTTCTACAGCTTCAGAAGCCTGATCCTGTGCGCCTCAGGAACTCCTCTGCAAGCAGGCCTTCTCCGCCCCAATCCTGCACACCCTGGGGATTCCTAGGGCACATGTATTGCATTATAGGGTGTGGTCAGCAACAACAGATCAGGGAACCCCTTTAAGAGTTGCCTCCTCCATACTTGTTGATGTACATCCCAGGAATCCACTTGCAGAAGCATTCCTGGGGCATCCATTTCACACTGCTGGCTTCAGGTTCGGGTGAGGCCTGCAAGTACACTCCAGGTTCAAATGCAACAAAATGAAATGCAAGCAGGGCTGTCCCTAGGGGGTGTGAACTGGGGTGACCGCCCTGGGCCCATGCTTTGGGAGGCCCCATGGACAGTCCTGTACAGGCCCTGCCGTGGCTGCCACGCGCCGGTGCTGCCGAGCCCTACTGGCTCTGGCCACTCAGCCGCCCCTCCCACCCCAGGCCCCACACAGGCTGATAAGCCCCGGGCCCTACACACCCATAGGGATGGCTCTGCATGCGAGTCCCAGGAATCCCCAGCAAGGAATTCCAAGATATGCTTTTAAGCTTCTGAATCTTGGGCGAGGGCCAGACACTCAGAATCATCATCCCACAGAATCAGGTCCCTGAAGTCCTGGGAGCCACAGGGGTTCGACCCCATGAGACAACAGTGATATCTGTTTTTGCTGACAAATTGGTTCAGTTGTGCTGGGGTACACCCTAGAGTTTGGTTTGTTAGTTAAAACAATCTGTTGGTGATTAGGAATTATAAAGGATTATGTTAAAAGGCAAGGCTTTTTATGATATTTGTTATTGGACCAGCTGTATAGTTGGGAGAGCTGCTAGACAAGTTTTTGGGCATCAGGACCTGAGGTAGGATACCTGATGCCTGAAAACTTGTTGAACTACACAGTTCTCCCAACTATTGGGAGTTGGTCCAATAAAGGATATCACAAAAAAACATTGCATCCTGGAGCATCACAGCTATAAAAACATCAAACCTACTATAACATAAAGGGTTATTTCATTTTATCAGAAGATACCACAAAAGGAATTATAGTCACATAAACATTTCAATGTGTTTTAAAAGACACAATAACAGGAAATGATTTATAAGTATACAGGGAAACCACTAAGTTACAAAAAGAAATCTCCAACTTTTTAATGGACTAATGCATGCTGAAATGTAAAGAGCCAATTTGGTCAGTACTTGCCTAAGTAGAGGACTCCATTGTGCTCCATTCTTCCTCACTTTAGGTTCTGATAAAGCAACATATTGCACTTGTGAAAGCATCTGTGACTCTTTGGTAGCTAGATAGTCTTAATGTGAAGCCAATAGATAATTGAATTATAATAAAAACTACCTTAAATTATGCCTGCACAATATCAAATACATTAAAAAAATGACATAGCTTTTGAATTCTCTTCTCAACAACCTTACCTCTTAAGATATGCTTCTAACTGCTAACAAAAGACATTGTAAAGCAGCTGAAGTTTCAAATTTCTGGAAGAGGCTGGGGTAAGATCAGGTCAGGGAAGCCTGCTCTTTAAGAATCGTGATGCTCCATTAACAAGAATAAAACTGTGGCATAACCAGGAATGCTAGAACCAAGAATGATCTGTATTTATGGACCCCATGCTCAGGACTGCTCCTCAGCTGTGTATGCTGTTTAATTTATGGGTTTGGGCACACTCAAAGTAGGTGCAAGCTGGGCTTATATCTCATTTGCATTCTTGGGCTCACACTGGAGGCCTTAGAGATATCAGTGCAGCAAGTAGGGGCTGCAAAGATTTGCCAGGTCTCTTAAAAGCTTTTTTATTCCAAGCGGAGTTCTAATCTATGTGTCTACAAGATACCTTAAACAGGGTTCTCCCCTGCCTTGTTCCCCCTCCTCTCCCTCCCGGATACTTCTGTACACTCTTGCCATATACCTTTGCTCTGATGCTGGTGGGTTCTGCAGTAATATCTCTGCTTGCTGAGGGTCTCTTCCCATATACCTTTGGCAAGAAACCCTCAGCAAGCAGAGATATTGCTGCAGAACCCACCAGCATCAGAACCCTAAAACCACCTGCATCTTTTATTCAATTGTTCAGAAGACCTGGCAGGCCATGCAACCTGGGACGACCAAAGTCTACGGAATATAACACGGAGTCGACAAAGTCGAAGCCTTCTGTACACATCTGGATTTTTGCAGTGCCCAAACGTGGCTAAAAGCAGCAAACAACTTCCTTAACATTCAGATTTATGGAAGGAATTAAAAAAAAAAGTTTGGCACCTCACAAATGTGTATACATCATATTCCAACATGTTCATGTTCCAACAGGATGGTCAATGCTGCAGAAGACAGACGGATGGAAGGAACTGCCAGGATGACCCCTGATACACAGGAAGGAAAAACATAATTAGCTGTGTGTCTGAAGTCAGGTAGAAGGTGAGGTAGATGTGCACCTTATAAACTAACCAAAGTAGATATATCCCACTGCCTGGGTTAGCTTTGGTGACTCCTGTGTTCCTATGGGTTTACTGGTTGTTTGCTTGTCTCTCCCAGCACTGTCCCCCTCCCCACTTCTCTCTCTCTCTCCCCCCTCCCTTGTCTTTTGTATTCTCATTTTCCCTCTCCTTAAACCTGGCTTTCTGCACATTCTTTCATATAATCTCTGATGAATTGAGCTTCAGATCACAAAAGCTTGTGCTCTGTCCGTATCCCTACTTTGGTTAGTGTATATGGTGAAAATACCCTGCCTTCTAATAGAGGAAGGAACCATACAACCTTATTTTAGAGCTCTGCAACACATAGTTGACAGTGCAAATCAGATGTGAGCCCCAAAGGATAAGTCAAAGTATGAGCACAGGAAACAAAAGGGACAGACGGAAGAAACACAAGGTAAGAAGGAGAATCCACAGAAATCCTCTTGCTGACATTTCATGTCATTACATATGCCCTTTAATCATTCAAGCCCTTCCTGTTTTCAAATTGCTGGGGGGGGGGGGGGCCCTTGCGTGCTTTAAATTTCGGTGGGGGGGGGGGGTGCATGTGCGTGCGTGCGTGCGTATACAGTTTTATTCAGAAAAATGACTGTAAAATGACCATTTCTCAGCCATGGCATCTGTTCCCTATACGTTCAGAACTGTGATACAGAACGGGACACCTTGTGCTGCTGCTAATTGTCCCCGCAGCGCGTGGCATGTTACCCCACGTGGGGTAGGGGAGGCTGGGCCAGCACTGTGCTGACCCTGGCAGCCTTACCTTACCTGGGGGCCTCCCCCGGGTCTGCAGCAGTGGCGATCCTGTGCCGCTCCGAGCCTGGCTGGCGGTGGGAGCGCGCCACTTTTGAGTGATGCACGCTGCCCCGCTTTATCCAGTTTCCCTACGTGAACAAACATACCCCAGCAAGCAAACGTTTACGCCAATGTAAGGCTTTGCCAGCTCGGTATAGTCCACTTGTGGGCAAACTCACGGTGCGGGAAGGCAGGGGGAAGAAAAAACAAAAACACTAGGCACTTTCCTGGAAAACACAAAAGGGCTTATGACCAGGAAGAACAATGGTAATTGGAAAAATAAATAAATAAATAAAAGGGATCAAATGCTTTGCCAAGGGTATGGTTGAAACGACACTGACACAAACCCACGCCGTACCTACCGTCCAATCCTCCCAACAATGCCTGCGAAAATCTCCCTGGGTCCCTCCCCTCCCCTCCGTCACACTGACCAGCTCCCTCCACGGGCGACCTGCATCTGCCGTCTCCTCACAGGGACCTCAACTGTCACTGCCTCCACCCCTCCCCCTGCCTGCCTCCAGAACATTCCACCCTC